CGGGGTCCCCCCTCTACCCCGGGCGGCCCCACGGCGAGGCCCAGCCCCGCCCTGACGGCGCACCTCCGCGTCTGCCCAGGGGAGACCATCCAGGGCCTGAGGAGCAGCCTGCTGGCCGCCATCGACACCCTGTCCCGGGTGGACTCCTCCGTGGCCGTGTCCTCCGGCGGGGAGCTCTTCCTGCGCTTCATCAGCCTCACCTCCCTGGAGTACTCGGTAAGGGCGGCTGCGCCCCGCTCAGCCCCGGTGCCTGCTGCGGGCACCCTCCGGCCTCACAGCAGGCATGGCCATGTTTTCCAGGACTACTCAAAGTGCAAAGAAATCATGATTGAGCGTGGGGAGATCTTCCTCAGGAAAGTCTCTCTGTCGAGGAACAAAATCGCCAAGCTGTGTCATCCCTTCATCAGAGATGGTGCTGTAAGTAGGCTGAGGCAGGGTCACTCTTCCGCTGTTGCTCGGCTGCTTGCAGTTGTGGAAAAACAGAAGGGGGAGGGCGTGAGGTTTATTAACATTCACAGCAGCACCGGCTGACGGCAGCCTCTGCGAGTACGTAGGCGTAAGGCCACCACATAGGTTTTCGTTTGCTAAGGCTCATCTCCTCCCCTGACCTCAGTTCCCATGTGGTCCGAGAGGTGCTGAGGAGGCACAGCTCTAGTTTCCCACGTGAAGCACGAGATCATCACCCCTCGGCCACATCAAGCCCAGCTCACGGAGCGGTTTGCTCTCCTGTAATTGGCAGAACACAAGCAACGCGTTACTGTCCAGCACTGATGGATATTGTGTGAAGGCAAAGCCACGGCACCATTAACAAAGCAAAGGTTTCCCAAAGCTCAGCAAAAAGTAACATCTGTTGTTTTTTTTACAGCGAATACTGACACATGCCTACTCAAGGGTGGTCCTCCGAGTGTTAGAAGCAGCGGTTGAGTCAAAGAAGCGATTCAGTGTTTACGTTACTGAGTCGCAGCCAGATGAAGCAGGGCAAGTACTCGTTAATTTGTGCTTTGCCTTAGTTAGCAGGGTAAGTCACAGCTCGCCTCAGCCTGTCACCCCAGTGACTGGCTGTCAGAGGGAACAGCGCACACCGGAAGTACAAGTGAGGGGACACGGCCAGTTGTGGGCTTGTCTCTGGGACAGCATTGCTCTGACATCATCTTAAACAACAACAACGACTTTTAAGCTTCAAACATTTTTTTTTTTTTTAATAGGCAAAAAATGGCAAAAGCCTTGAGGAAGCTGAACATTCCCGTGACTGTGATTCTGGATGCTGCTGTTGGGTGAGTCCGATCATTAAACCTTGAAGTCGTTCATCACTTTGACAGCGTTCTGCGTCGCTGTCTAGGAGCTTGTTCACCCTCCGGAGGTTGTTACCTGTCAGTCCTCAAACGAGCTGAACAGGTTATGCCGATACGTGCGCCATCAGAACACGCCGGCTGCAAAGCAGGTATCGGGTGTTTGAGGTTGAAAAATGGAGTCAGACCTAGACGTAGAACTTGGGGATTTGCGTAAAAAATAAATAACTAAATGAAAAGACCCCGTGGCACTGCGCAAAAAAGGCCAGTTGGTTTGAGGTTATGGAGTCAGACTTAGGCGTAGAACTTGGGGATTTGTGTAAAAAATAAATAACCAAATGGAAAGACCCCAGAAATGAGGCGCTGCGTAAAAAAGGCCAGTTGTTTTTAACTGGCTAGACGTAGAACTTGGGGATTTGCGTAAAAAATAAATAACTAAATGAAAAGACCCCGTGGCACTGCGCAAAAAAGGCCAGTTGTTTTTAACTGGCACCCATGTTATGAGTTGGGGGTTTCCTAAGCTGTTTGCTAAATTACCACTGCTTAGTGTAAGCCCAAAACACGATAAAAGAAAGAGCTCTAGTAAATCTGAATTTCAAGCCTTGCTCAAGCGCAAAATCCCTGAGAAAGTGCCTCTGAGGGAATACCCACCAGCCTGCACCGAGGCACCTCTCACAAGGGAAGCTAGCGGCTCGACAAGTCTGCAGGTTCGGGTGAACGCGCTAGGCCCGTCCCAGTTTCTCGGTTGGTGGTTTTCTGTCCATCTGTGGTGTCTGTTAACGAAACACGGCAGAGGGATGTAAAGAAAGGGCGATGGGATGAGGAGCATCCGATGCATCTGGCCAGGGTTATCACGGTGCAGTTACACTTCACTGGGTAGTCAGTCTCTTCCTACAGGCGCCCCCATCCCGTAACTGAGTATCATTCCTAGTCTGACTTCAGCTTCTTCCAGCCTTTCCACAATTGCCAGGGTTGGCGTGGCTGGAGAAGATACACTTACTTAATACTCCTGCCAGGGACGCAGGGGTAATGGGTATAAATTGAAATCAGGGAGGTTTAGATTAGATGTCAGGAAGAAATTCTTCACAGAGAGGGTAGTGAGGCACTGGAACAGGTTGCCCAGAGATGTTGTGGATGCCCCATCCCCGGGTGTCTTCCAGGTGCGGCTGAAAGTGGCTTTGAGCAACCTGGTCTAGTGCAAGGTGTCCCTGCCCATGGCAGGGGGGTTGGAACTAGATGATCTTTAAGGTCCCTTCCAACCCAAACCATTCTATGATTCTATGATCCAAGGCTGTGTAACAGCACACGGAGTGAGATGGGTAGACGGAACTCGTTCAGAAAAGTGACTGTTTGAATTACCAATTCCTCTTTGTTCAGGCAGTCATTTCTCCTATCACCCAGCGAGACTTGGATTTTTCCCCCCTTCGAACAGGTACATCATGGAGAAGGTGGACCTGGTGCTCGTTGGTGCCGAAGGCGTGGTTGAAAGCGGAGGCATTATTAACAAGGTAAGAGGCAGGGAGCTGAGCACACAATTCTCTCAATGCCAGACCTTTCGAGTCTGGATTCTTTGGAGAACGCACGGCTGTCTGAAGAATCTCTGCTGTCTGGGTGTTATCCAGTAAGCGTCTGTTTGTTGTTGGAAACTGGGCAGTAGCGCGGCCCAGGAGCATCCGGTCAGCCTGTTGTTTCCCATCTGTCTCCGCAGATCGGCACGAATCAAATCGCCGTGTGTGCCAAGGCTCAGAATAAGCCGTTCTATGTGGTAGCAGAAAGTTTCAAGTTCGTAAGACTTTTCCCTCTGAATCAGCAGGACGTCCCGGATAAGTTTAAGGTGAGAGAAACTCAACTTACTTCTTAGCCAGCCAAGATGCACTTAGGTGTCTATGAAAAACTCACAGAAGCGTGTCTGGTTGTCTGGATCTCTCTGCTGTCACTCACTTTGCGCAGTACGGAGCTGCTCCGTGTTGGTCACGTGTCAGACCACCGTCATTTGTTGCAACGCTAACGTTTAGGTCCTAAAGCAGTTCCTTTAGGGCACAGGAGCAGCTGAGGGTGAGAAACAGTTAACTCAGTACACTTCAGCACTACACGTTGTACTTGGTACAGCAGACAGACCAGCTGAGCCCAGGGGGGCACCAGCCCACGTGACATTTCAAGGCGACTGACTTCCTGCAGCTGTACGACCGCCTGCACCACGCTACGGCACTGCTCTCGCCGGGGGGGTTGTGACTTGCAGGCGCGTAGGAACTAACGGCCTCTGTTTCTCTCTAGTACAAAGCAGACACTCTGAAAACAAGTCAGAACCTAACAGAGGAGCATCCCTGGATCGACTACACGTCGCCGTCGCTGATTACACTGCTGTTCACCGACCTGGGTGTGTTAACTCCGTCAGCTGTCAGTGACGAACTTATCAAACTCTATTTGTAAGGGAGGACTCGTGTACAGGATGTGTCGTCGTCTTCCATGGCTGCCGCAGTTCTGGGAACCCGGAAGAGGCGACGAGCTGCACGGACGTGGTAAGGAGGCGACATTAGAAGGATTAACCTAATTATCGGCCACCTTGAGTTCTTAAAGCAAAACATTACATGCGGATGGACCACTGTTAAAAGAGTAAATCCAAAAGTTACTACGTGTTCTAAAGACCTAAAATAAATTGTTTTAAAGATGGGTGGAGTATTTTGATACTGTAAAATACAGTAGCTGGTGGTGTATTCACACTCGGTCCGAGACGTGGCCTTACGAACCTGAAAACACGCCCCAGGCTCCTGCCGGCAACCTGCAGCTCCCGCTGTGCTGTGCAAGAGCGGCACGTCCAGCTGCGTTCTGAACTGCAGCTCTGTAGGTCTGTAGGTGCCAGTCTCGCCGGAACGAAGGTAAATTGGTCTGTTCTCTGCACCATTACTTTGTTACGAAATACAGTTTTATTGAAACAGTAATTTAATGTAAAAGGGCGGTTAGAATAACTGTCAACCTTCAGACTCCAAGTCAGCCACAGTTTCTGCTTTGAGTCCACTCTGGCTGCCTGTCAGTCTCTTCTCAAACTCTTCTTCACTGATTTTCCCCTTTTTTAACCTTTTCAAGAGTCTCGTGTCATTCAGCAGCTCTTCCATATCCTCATCTTCAATATCGGAGCCCTGGTGACAGTTGAAAAAGAACAAGTCAAACACAACCCCAGGCAGCTTTCACTCTACACACCTGAGCGCACGGGAAGTTTACAGCTTGGATTTTGCCAGGAGTTTCCAAGCAGGAAATGATACCCAGTTGATAGGCTGGGCACAGCTCACCTCCTCGCGCTTCCTTTTAGCTGTTACTTTCTTCTTCTTCTCCCTCTTGGCTTTCTGCTTTGACCAGGATTTGTTCTTTATGAATTTCTTTTTCCCACCATTTTCCTCTCTTTCTTTTCGTTGTTGTTCTAACTGCTTTTGTCTCTGTTTTTCTCTGTTTTTATCCTTAAATGAAATGGAGTCCGTATTAACAGAGACGGGAGTAAAGTCCGGGAAACATTTTCCTCGGAGTTCGGGCATCTTTGGCATTTTTAACAAAGCAAAACCTCGGGCAAGGCTAGCAAAATCCAGATCTGTTAAAATAAAGATTATAACGTCGGTTTCTTGCTGGATAAAACGATAATTTCACTTAGCAAGTCACAAAAACCCCATCTTACGCTACTGTTTGCATTCTAGACTTGGTAACAATACTGTCACTTCTACTGATGTTTGTGTCGGTTTTGGTCACTTGCTACTGAAATGTTTTCTCTCAAGAACCATCAGAAATGTGCTGCTTGACCAAACTTCTGTCAGGGCCTGACGCTGTAGAAGGTAACTGAGGTCGGGGTCAGCGGCTGAAGCTTGTGGACAATAACGCTGTTTTCAGCCAAACCAAATACTGTTTTCTGAAAAGAACAGGAAGAGACACCAGCTCCTGCTGGGAATTACCTTTCATTCGGAAGATGAGATGACATTCGTGTTTGGCATAAGCCTGGACGTAGGACACAAATGCTTTCATCCCCTTCTCAAACATTGCCCTGTCAGCTAGGGCCAGAGACTTCAGTTTTGGGAGGAGATCCAACACGCTTCTCTGGGGCTTCATTTCCTGCATGGGACACTGAGGACCAGAAAGGAAGCACAAAACCAAAGAGAAAGCTCAGCCGAGTGATTTGAAATGCGCTGTGCACACGCACCTTTCATGCCCAGATAACCCTGAGTGACCTTGGAGCCCCCTCTCCCCCTTCCCCTTGGTCACTTCAAGACACCAGTTCCCTGTTCAGCCCCACACACGGCTGGCCTAGCCCAGAAGCGTGCGCGCTGCAGCTCGCAAGAGGCAGCATCTTCATTTCACGCCTTGCCAAGCTGCGTCCTCAGGAGCAGGCCTCTAGGGAGTTACTCGTTAATCCCACAAATGCAGGACCAGGCACAGGAAATCACCAGACCTTAGGTTCTACACATGGGGATTTCCAACTCCTATCGGGAAGCCCGTCCCCTTGCCCTTTCCTATTTGGGGTAGAACAGAAGCACACTAACCTTCTGGTTGATGGCGAGAAAGTTAACATAAGACTCTTCCATGGGAAGCAAAAAGACAAGCGCGCTGCCTACGTTGCCGATCCGTGCTGTCCGACCACACCGGTGCACGAAGGCACTGAAACAACACCACCAGAGCTAGCTCACCAGGAGATCCCAGACTGGTTTGGGTGGGAAGGTACCTTAAAGCCCCCCCAGCCCCCCCCCCTGCCATGGGCAGGGACACCTTCCACTAGACCAGGTTGCTCCAAGCCTCATCCAGCCTGGCCTTGGACACTTCCAGGGATGGGGCATCCACAGCTTCTCTGGGCACCCTGTCCCCGTGCTCCCCACCCTCTCCAATGTTCAGTCTGATTGTAAAGTATCAGACAGACAGAAAAAGGGCAAATCTCGTGGAATAGAAAATGTACAGCATTATGTACTTCTGAACTAGACCTACAGGAACCAGTCAAATGCAGCACAAGAGATGTGTAGCAGTCCCGCTCAGTCATCAGGACTGGGCTAAAGCAAGGGCTGTCAGTTTTGGGGGTGAAGTTTAAGCAAATTGTAGGGAGAATTATGACAACAGGAGTTAAATTACACGGAAAAGTGCCTTCATGTCAACTTTGACCATTCCATTCCCTAGAGAGCTCCCTCCCCACTCTCATCTCTGTGCTCATCCACCCCAGCGTCTCACCTCTTGCTCGTTCTTGGACACTCTCACGCTCAGCTTTACACCAATGTGGCTCCTCACACACACACAAGCAGCAAACACCCATTCGACTCACACACATCCAGCACAGTCACTTCAACTCACAGCAGTTACAACAAAAGCTGCGGTTTCAAGCTCCCGTGTTCACTCAGACTAACTTCCAGGCAGCAAGTAAACGTGTTTTCCACAGTTGCACGTTCCCAATTTATGCCCGAACAGTTCAGGAGCGTGACCACGAGCCCAGGTTCTGAAGGTGCGAAGCTGTACCTGGCACTGCTAGGCGGGTCATACTGCAGAACCCAGTGTACTTCTGGGATGTCTATGCCCCGAGCCATCACATCAGTGCAGACCAAGATGCCACTAGGAAGAAGAAAAAGCGTATTTTCAGTAATGTGGCATTTGGGATGAGCCAGTTTTCCCCCGGCTGCGTGTTCTGCAGCTCCAGCGGAGAACAAGGAACGAAGTGTTTTAAAACACTTGAGTTTTTTGAAAAGAGGTGAAATACTGTAAGGCAGTTGCAGCTTTCACCAACTAAAATCCTACAGAACGCTGTGGAAAGGAACGTGATTTATGACACAGCCAACATACCACTGAGAAAACAAGAATCCATCCCTACTGAGAGTTCTGTTTCTCAAGCACCCCTGCACCCACCACCGTGGAACAGAATACTACCAGTGTGTTAATAAAAGACCTCAGGCACTGACAGTTTTAGCATGCTATTTTGAACAGTCCCGAGCTGCAGATATCCTAAATCCGTGTCCCCGCATCTCCCATGCTGCCATGTGGACTATCCCAACTAGGCCAGACACGCTCCGGTCAGAGTGTCGCTTAGTTTGTGACCATACCTTGAGGGCCCAAGCACAGCTTGTGTTTAACACGTTCCTTTCTCTCACCCAATACAGCAGTGTGCTTGGGAGTTCACCCTCAGCGCGTGCCACCCCTCTCCTCAGCCCACCACCGCTCGTCCGCAGGAAGCGGCAAAATAATACTGCCAGACAACACCCCCCCCCACCGACTGTTTCTGCTTTGGGCTGGCTTAGCCTCCTCGTCCGTCCTTACCCCGGCAGCTGCCGAAACGCCGTAAAAATCTTGTTACGCCTGTGTTTCATTTTCCCATGAATGCTCATTATTTCCACTTGTTTAAGTAAGGATTCCAAAGCCTTCCCATAGTATTCCACGCAGGCACACGTGCTGTTGTGATAACGAGACACATAAAAGCAAGGGAGCACGCTGCGGTTTCACTCTGGTTTAGGCAGTTAAGCTTCGGTGGAGACCTTTGATAAAACAAGCACTGTTGCCTATTTTCACTTCAGATACGTGCATTGTTTTTGTAACAACCATATAATCACCTCTAATGCCTTGCTTTATCTTTTGCCTAATCAAGTTGCACACAATCCTGACCCGAAGCAACGATCAATCTCTTCTTAGGCACCTCTAAAAGACATCTGTTAATCACTTAAAATAGTTGTGTCCCTGTTAACCCAGGGCAGAGTTTTGGAACTCAATTAATACACCACCCCACTGTTTTCACAATGAAACACAAACAGCATTACCTGAAAAAGACCAGATGTTTTTCCTGTTTGTGCTGACGAAGGAAATGCACCAACTGATTAAATTTTTCATCTGCTTTGCAGATCTAGACAATGCAAAACAAAAAAAACCCAAATAGTAAGAAAACGGACTTGCTACAGGGTGATCTGCCAGTTCCCTCCCTTCCCTACGCAGCGATAAATGTCCAGGGCCATAATTTGTTACCCACCATTTGTGCCACAGCTCACCAGGTGGAACAGTGCTCTTTTATATACCTCGTTTTAAGTAAAACCAAATGCTGAAGCTCCCAGTCTCCCCATCCCCAGCCACAACAGCTCCCCTGAAGCAGGATCTCAATATCCCTCAGCCACGGCTCTGAAACTGCCAAAGTCTCTTCCCTCACTAGAGGTGGGTCAAGGAGCCACAGCAGCTAGTTTGGGATTACAACTACTCGGGGCCAGCCAAACCAAACTCACAGAGCAGGGAACAGCAGGGTAGCCAATTCAGATCTTTCTCCTCAGCTTGGTTAGTGACCTCTGGAGAACCTGCAAGAGCTTCCTGTCTTTGAGACCTCTAGTTCCTCTCATTAATGTGACCCTAACTAGCCAAGGCTTAAAAACTCACTGACAGACACAGGAAGAAAGGAGGGGTAACAAGAAACCATCACAAAGCGCAGAGGTGCGCACCATGTAGTAGTTCTCCAGGCGCGTTGGAGTTTTCTGTGTGTTGCTTGCTGCCACTCCCTTCTCTTTCACCGAGATGCGCACAGGGTTCCAGAGACCTGCTCTCACCAGGTTCTCCACCTCCTGAGTCTGAGTGGCTG